AAAAGGAAAGAAAGAAAAAAGAAAGCCCAAACAAAACCAAAATCCTGGAACTGCATGCACGAAAAGCCAACTCCGTCTCAGGTCCCAGGCGCTAGATGCACTTGGAGCAAGTTTCTCCTGAACGCGGGTGTCAACACATGAGTGGAAACTGTAAAAATCCCAAAGAGCTGTTGGGAATCCTTAATTAAAAATGCAATCCACCGAGGCAGAGGTCGCAGCCCGCCCCACGCTGCGCTCGGACGCCCGGGGCGCCGCGGCTGCAGAGGTCGTCCCCCTCCCCCCTCCACAAAAAGTGCCTCCCGGTGGCCCCGCGGTCCCTGCGAGGTCTGGCGAGGCAGCGCCCGGCGGCTCTTTCTCTCGGCTCGGCTCCCTCGCTCGCTCCCCCGCTCGGCTCTCTCTCTTTTTTGTTCTCCTCAAACGCACACTGAGGGCCCCCGGAGGAGCGCCGCGGAGTCATTGGCTGCCTCCCATCATATGCCAGTCTAGACACTTTGGCGGCTCCGCGGCGCTGATTGTTGCGCAAACAAGGTTTCAAGTTTCTTAACTCTTAAAGGAGAACACGTCCCATTGCAGGGCCCAAGGCTCCGAGGGGCTGGCTCCCGGGGCGGGCCGAGCCCGGACTCCCGCCCCACGCTCGCCCCGGCACGCCCGCCCCGAGCCTGACAGCGCCCACGGCCCGCTTTCTAGCCCGTGTTGCGCCGCGGGCACGGAGACGAGCGAGCACACACACACACACCCCCGCGCGCGCACACACGCACACGCGAGTTACACAAACCACGGGCGAGCGGCGCGAAGGCTCAGTGGACCCGCTGAGACTTGGATGCAAACGGGGCGCTTTGCCTCTCCCTGGCTTGTGCACAAACTTACAAACACACATTGCACTTTAGAGTTGGTCCAAACCCCCATCCCAGGCAAGGCTAATAAAAATGGGTGTGCGTGTGTGCCTTCCTGGCCTGAGTCTCTTGGGAGCAGGGGCGGCCGATCTGTTAGGGTAGGGGGATCTTCCGTGATGGCACAAGGTCTCCACACCCCCTGCCGTAGTCAGGGGTCGCTCTGCTGGGCCGAATGAGGGACCTGGGACGCTTGGCGCAAGGGGTCTCCAGGCTTGCCCGATGTAGGGAGTTGCAGGGGGTGGGGTAGAGGCGGGGAGTGTCTTCTCTCCGACTCCTCGCGGTCGCCACGGCTCTCCCTCGGAGCTAGGCGGACGGCCAGCAGTCCCGGGCCCCCTCGAGGCCGGGTGCTTCCTCCTCCCCTTTCCCCAACTGATTCTCTGCACCACCGAGAAGCGTGTGGGTTCGGGGTCTTGCTTTCCCCTGCGACGTTTCGCCAAGGGAATGGGGGTGGGTTGGGGGCAGGGTCCCAGCCCACAAGGTCCGGGGCTGGCTGGGGGGGCGCGGCGGCAGCAGCGGGCCGCCCGGCGCGGGAAGGGTTAAGGCCGCTCCTGCCCCTGGAGCCGGCGCGGCGGGGTACCTCCTCGGGCGCGCTCTCTCGTCCGAGGGTGGCAAAAGTTCAAGCTTGTAAAGTCGGGATTGGTCCCGCGCGGAGGGAAAAAAGGCCTGGTCCCCCCCTCCCCCCCCGGGTGCGGCGCCGATTGGTCCGGCCGTGGGGCGGGCACCGCCCTCTCCACGGCGCGCGGCGGCCCCGCCCCCGGCGCGGCACCCCGCCCCTTTCCGGGCAGGAGCCCGGCCCCGCACTGAATGAAAGAAATTCCGCTACTCTCATTGGCCCGGGGCTGGGCGCCATTCCCCCGCAGGGGCCGCGGGGGCGCCGGCGCGCGGGTCTCCCCCGGGGGTGCCCACGTGTGGGGCTGGCCCTTTGAGTGCGCGGCGGTGCGAGTACCCCGCGGGGCCCGGAGTCTGCGTGCAGGCGGGGGGAAGGGCGGGGTATTCCGGAAGGACTCGGAACCATTTGCTGAGCTGTACCTGGAGCCAGGTACTGTTCGCGCCGCGCTCGCCCGGAGACGTGCTTGTTCTTTCGAAAGCAAGACCGGGCCGAGAAGCTTCCTCACCCGCATCCCCTACTGCTTCGGCCAGATCAAGATAGCTGTCAGTTTCTTGTTTGGAAAAAGGGGTGGCTACCCGGCGTTCCTCACAGGACCTGAAGATCCTAGGAGAGAGTGCATTTAAAGCGCTGGAACCGCAAGTGACCAGCGAGATGAATTTTCTCAAGTGAATACATCGCTTAGGTAATCAGCATCCAGAAGCCCATCTCGTGGTCCTTTCGGTTATTTCTCGCCCCTGGGGGGAAAATACAAAGAATAATTCAGTGTCAAGTAGTTTTCTTTCATCAGGGTATTCGCTGGTTTGCCCGTGGATTGCAATAATAATAAATTGGCGCCTGTTGACTCCTTACTGGGGGCAAGACCATGGTCCAGGCGTTATAACGATTCAGTCGCCGAATTCTCCCGCCCACCCTGCTAGGTAATATTATTCTTTCCATTTTCCAGATGAGGAAACGGAGGCACAGGAACTTGCCGTTTAATTCACCAGTGACCAACCAGATAGTGTTGAGAGTGCTAAAATGCCAAGACCAGATGGACATAAACCAGTGTGCGCGCTCACCCCACAAGCTAACGAACAGTGTGTGGGTCCGTGTTGGAGCACAGGCTTCCAGGGCAGTGATTTTCCAAATGTGGTCCATTGGAACTGCTGAATGAAAGTATTATGGGGTGAGGCCCCAAATACTTGGGGGTAGGTATGGTTGTTACCACTATTTTATTTTACAGATAAGAACACTGAGGCACAGAAGCTTTAACTTGCATAAGCTTTCGGTTAGTCTCAGAGGTGGGATGTGAACCCAGCCAGCTGAGAGGGGTGGGTGCAGGTGTGTAGGTGTCTAATGGGGCAGCAGGCTCTAGATGGGTTCCCTCCTTCCCTGGGCAGTAACTCACGGTTGAGCTTCTGCTCTTGCTCATGCAGAGACGCAACATTAGGGGTCGAGGTGCCATCAGGTGCCTGCTGGATGCCCTCCGAGGAGCACTGAAACCAGAGTCTGGTAGGCCTGAGTTCAGCAGTGACCTTCCTAAGCCTCCCTCAGCGTTATCAGCCTCTGGGTTCTCATCTGTAAAATGGGACTCGGAATCATGCTCCAGGCGGTTACCAAAGTTAAATGACATGAGGACCCAGAGGCCTCCCTCATTACAGGAAGATGCCTCTGAGTGGAGATAGTATCTGGAAGGGAAGGGCACTGATAGTTCCACTGTCCTTGGATTCTCAGGGCCCATCCAGCCTAGCACCACCCTGCACTGCGACCACTAGAGGGTGTGTGAGCGCCCAGCAGGACAGGGCCTAGGAGCCAAAGCCTAAGGGCACCCTCCTGCACCGCCCTCTGGAAACAAGCTCCAGTTCCCTGGGGGTGTAGAAGAGGAGGTAGGTGCAATGCCAGCTGCTGATCCACAGGTCCCTGCGGCCATATTACTCACAAAGTAACTCACAGAGAAGTGATCCTAACCCCTCAGATTCAAAACCGCTCCCTCCCCGTTATTCCAGTATTTTCCCAAAGCACCCCGTGCTTTCTCTTTACCCTGCTTCTCATGGTTCGTAGCCGTCGGATTCCATGTCCACTGTCCTATCTGTGGAACGTAAGCCCCACATGGGCAGAAACGGTGAAGCTCTCAGGCCCCCGCCACCCTGTAGCAGTGCTGAGGGAGTGGAGTCAGAAACAGGCCATCTGAGCCCCCCCCCCCCCCCCGTGCCATCAAAGAAGGTTAATAGGCGCAAGACCGCGCTTGCTCAGTTCCTCTCTCCAGTCCCTGGCATGACGTCTGTCACATAGTGGGCACTCAGGATCTGTGAGGTGGTTGAATTCAAATCACTCCCTTCACCGAGCTTCGTGCTCATCATCATCCTGTATCAAACATTTATACACACTGTCTCATCAGATCCTCACCCCCACCCCTGCCCCAAATCAACAGAATGAAGAAGTCAACATTCTTACTAGACCTGTTTTTTAGAGAAGGAAACAGAGAGCATAAGTAATTTGTCTCTGGTCACCTAGGCAATAGGTGGCAGGGTTGGGACTTGAACCCCAGGCTGCTGGATGTGAGTGTTAACTTCTTAATGCCTGGTCCTGGAAAAGAAAACGTGGTCCGTTGCCCTTGAGGAGTTTCCATATCAGCTGGGAAGACACAGGCATGAAACAGCAGAATTCATACAAGGGAGCACTTGCTTCTTGGTGGTGGAGAGCAGCAAGCTCTAGGGGCCACTGCTTATAACAGTAGCACCACAGAGGAAGTCTGGGCAACGTCTTGCTGGAGTCAGATGGACTGGGAGGGTGAACGATTCACCCTAACCCACTTCACAGGAGACCGATGGATAAACCAAGGCCCTACGTCTTAGTCTCATAGAGAATAACTATAGCCCTAACTGGCTAAGTAGTATCATCTGCCCTTTTGGAAGGTAAATCTACTTGGCCCCGAATAGGGGAGACGGGGCACCCATAGGTGGTAGACAACACTTCTGAGCTTTTGGTGAATGCTATGGACTCCCTGTCTCTTGAAAAACACACATGTGCGTAAGTGGAACTTTGTGTTCATTCATTCAACACATACCTACTGAGTTTCTGTGGGATGCTGGGCCATGTTATAAGTACTAGGGAACCTGCAGGAAACAAAACACAAAAATTCCTAAGCTCAACGAGTCTAGTGGGAGGACAGACCATAAACAAAATAATCTGGTATATAGCATATTGGAAGGTAAAGGTGCAGAGGTCAAAAACAGAGCAACAAAGAGGAGAGAGAAATGCCAGGGGAGGGTAGGTATGGTTCCAAGAAACTGGCAGGAAACTTCCCTGGGAAGGTGACATTTGAATAAAGTCTTTTCTTAAACATATTCTTTTTTAAAAAATATTTTATTTTTGAGAGAGTGAGAGAATGACCAGGGGAGGGGCAGAGAGAGGAGACAGGATCCGAAGCAGGCTCTGCGCTGACAGCACAGAGCCCAATGCAGGGCTCGAACTCATGAGCCATGAAATCATGACCGGAGCCAAAATCAGACCCTTAACAGACTGAGCCACCCAGGCACCTGGAACAAAGTCTTAATGGTGGTAAGGAAAGCACTTATAGTGGCGAAAGTATGTTCTGGGCATTGAGAAGAGCAAGTACCAGGTTCCGGAGGTAGGAACATGTCTGGCACGTATCAGGACCATCCAAGAGGTGATACTATGTGAGAAATGCTGGGGGACAGACTGAAGGGTCACACAGGCCATTGTGGGGTCTTTGGCTTGTCCTCTGAGTGAGCTGAGCACCCCTGGAGGTTCTGAGAAGAGGAGGGTTAAGTTCTGCCTTGTTTTAACTGGCTCCCTCTAGCGGCCATGTGGATAATAAACTGCAGGGGACAGAGCTGGGAGCAAAGGTCTGGAGGGGAGGGAGAAGGTTGCAGTGGCCCAGGCATGACCCTGCTAGCTTGGGGACAGGCGGTTGAGTCCCGGACATATTTGAAGACAGAAAGAGCATGATTTGCTGTTACATATCTGGGAGTGTGCAAAAAACATCTGAACAGTGTACACATGTTATTGACAGTTACTTGCTTAATTTTTAAAATCAATTCACTCTTGGGGCACCTGGCTGGCTCAGTCGGTGGAGCAAGCGACTCTTAAGCTCAAGGTTGTGATTTTCAAGCCCACATGGGGTGTAGAGCCTAAAAAAAAAATCAGTTAAGTCTTATTTAGCCTTGTCATAAGCAACAATATCCACAGAGTCACAAATGTGCTAGTCATATTTATCAGTTTAAAGCAAATACATAAAATAGTTTTACACATCACCAAATAAAGTTAGCCCCGGGACCACCCGGACACATGCACTGCGGAAACACTAATTTAACCAGTTGCTAATTTCACCTACTTTCAGGCTTTTGGGTTAGTTTAATTTGATTGTTTTCTTATTACTTTCTCCCAGAAAGAATGACTTTTTTTCTTCCTGGCCCTGTCTATAATTAGGGGACCCATTACCACAGCCCCTAGGAAGTGAATGCTGCTTTCACTCTTGGCACTCCAGGCAACCTCTGCTTGCGCAGTACAGAGAGTGGTTCTTACCCGTTACTTTTTAAATCCAACAGACCTGGGTTCAAGTGCTGTTCCACTACCCCTGAGCTGTGTGGCCTGGGGCAGCTTCCTTTACCTCCTAGGATAATCCCTAAACCAGGTGTTACTCTTACTTGTAGGTTATAGATTCCAGATGGGGAGCCCGAGACTTAACTTCTAATAATAATATTGGGAGATAGTTTGAAGATTAAATGCTTAGCACAGAGGCTCCTGGGTGGCTCAGTCAGTCAAGTGTCCGACTTCCACCCAGGTCATGATCTCGTGGTTTGTGAGTTCGAGCCCCACATCGGGCTCTATGCTGACATCTTGGAGCCTGGAGCCTGCTTCGGATTCTTTGTCCCCCTCTCTCTCTGCCCCTCTCCTGCTCACACTCTCTCTCTCTCTCACAAAAATAAACATTAAAAATTTTTTAATAAAAAATAAAAATAAAATGCTTAGTACCATATCTGGCACCTAATACGTGCTCAGTAAATAGCGGCTATTAGTGAAATGAGTGCGGAGTCAGTCTTTGCCACGTTAAGCCTGGGTAAACAGGATTGTCAAAACTAACCTCTGGGAGCCTCAGTTTCCTTATCTCTGGACCTACCTGCCCAAGGTGGGAGTGGGATGATTCAGGTTCCTCCCCACAGTAGGACTCGGTGCCTCACCGTGACAAGCAGCCTGGAGACGGAAGGTTGGCTATGGAAGGGACCAAAAGAAACTTCCCTTACCAGTGTTTCCGATCACACCCCTTGGGCTGTACCTAGTTTCCACCCTCTAAGCAGTCTTTCATAAGTGCAGAGCAGAAGGGGGCAGGATGGGGGTGCCTGAGGTACCAGGTAAGGAGGGTTACTTGCCTAAGATCACAAGGCCAATTGCAGAGAGCCAGGAAGCAAGTGGACATTTTTCTTTTTTCTTATTTTTTTTAATATTTATTTTTGAGAGAGAGACAGAGCATGAGCAGGGGAGGGGCAGAGAGAGGGAGACACAGAATCCGAAGCAGGCTCCAGGCTCTGAGCCCGACTTGGGGCTCGAACTCGCAAACCACGAAATCATGACCTGAGCGGAAGTCAGACGCTTAACCAACTGAGCCACACAGGCATGCCAAATGGACATTTTTCTGACACACAGGGCTCCTTGCCCCTTTTCCCAGTGCTTAGGGCGTCTCTCCCCAAGTGTGCTGAGGATGTAGTGCAGGAAGTAGGAAGCCAGGCCCTGGGGTCAGACCACTTGAGTTCTAATTCTGATTCTGCTCCTTAACAGAGTGGCCTTGATCACTTTGCCTAACCTCGCTAAATGTCAGCTTCCCTCCAGAAAATGGGCTTAGTAATAATAGTACCTACCTCACTGGGGTCACTGTGAATACAGACTGAGATTATTATGCAAAGCATTTAAAGCTGCTATCCTTATTCTGCTCTGTGTGGATGCCACAGGGGAGGGCAGAGCCTTGCCAGCTTTCAGAAATACAAGATGAATGGATGAATGAATGAATGAATGAATGAATGAAGGCTTCAATGAGTGCAGTGCTGCAAGACAAGGTTGTTAAGGGGACCGGAGGCAGTTGCACACAGGTCAGGGCAAGGACTGTGGATTTGCCGCAGTGCATCTGGGTTACCTGCACCCCGTAGGTAACTCTCATCCTTCTCAGGCTGGGCAACTGGGCAGGGGAGGGAGGAACAGACGGGGAGGGCTCTTGAAGTCAAAGAATTTTTCTGGAGAGTTCATTTGACTCAAGGATGGTGGAGAAATTTATTTTTATATCACAATATATTCCATGTTTAATATGAAAGCTAAGCCAGGGGCACCTGAGAGGCTCAGTTGGTTGGGTCTGACTTAAGCTCAGGTCATGACCTCATGGTTCTTGGGTTCAAGACCTGCATTGAGCTCTGCACTGAGCATGTGGAGACTGCCTGGGGTTCTCTGGTTCTCTCTCTCTCTCTCTCTGCTCCTGCCCTACTTGCACTTTCTCTCTCTTAAATAAACTTTAAAAATAAGTAAATAAAACTAACCCAGATGGTGTATACAAGGTTCTCATGAGCTTCTGACAGAGAAGGGACACTTGCAAAGAACGGCAGCGTGAGCGGCATGAGACCACCGCCCCAGACAGACCCCTGGGCCTCCTGGGAGGCTCACTCCCTCAGCCTTCAGGGGAATACAGAGACCCTCTCTGAAGAGACAATGTCCAGGCATATGGCTCCTTTATACTTCAACATCAGGTTTCTGCTAGGCTCTATCTAGAAGCCAAAGGCCGTTATACAAGGAGCCCTCCCTCAGGGACTGGGAATTAATTTGAATAAATGTCTGTATTCAGTCATTCTTCTATACCATGGTGGCCAGAAAGAACCTTCTAGCATTTCTCTCTGACCCTGAGGCTCCCACACTGAGAAACTTCAATGGGTCCCCATGGCCAGTGAGTTCAAAAGTAGCTTCCCTTGATGGGGCGCCTGGGTGGCTTAGTCGGTTAAGCGTCCAACTTTCGCGTAGGTCATGATCTCGCAGTTCGTGGGTTCGAGCCCCGCGTCGGGCTCTGTGCTGACTGCCAGCTCAGAGCCTGGAGCCTGTTTCAGTCTGTGACTCCCTCTCTGACCCTCCCCTGCTCACGCTGTCTCTCTCTCTCTCCTAGAAATAAATAAAAATATTAAAAAAAAAAAAAAGTAGCTTCCCAACCCCCCCAGGGAAAGGTCCTACCTCCTGTCCCTACGACCACATGGGCCCTGAACAGGAGAAGGCCTGCCCCTCGGAATGCCCCAAAGCTCCCCTGTGTCCCGCTCTCTGACATCCAGTCTTCACGCATGCTGACCGTTCTGCTTGGAATGCCCTTCCTTCTCTTCCTCTGAACAAACGTTTTCTCTCTCGCCCCAGTGACAGGTCCAAGGCCATTTTCCATGCACTGTCCTGACATTCTTATATCCCTCCTTTCTCAGGGCTGGAAAGGATTTGTCCCCATCTGAGAGCCCCTTAAGAGCTCAGCCTGAGTGCATCTTTCTACCCTTAGCCTAGAACCAGGAGGTGCTAGGAATTGAAGAGTGGGGATTTCATTTTTAAAAATATCTTTTAATGTTTATTTTATTTTTGACAGAGAAAGAGAGAGAGAGAGAGAGAGAAAGACAGAGTGTGAGCAGAGGAGGGGCAGAGAGAGAGGGAGACACGGAATCTGAAGCAGGCTCCAGGCTCTGAGCTGTCAGCACAGAGCCTGACACAGGGTTCAAATTCATGAACCGTGAGATCATGACCTGAGCTGAAGTCAGATGCTTAATGGACTGAGCCACCCAGGTGCCCCTAGGGATTTCATTTTTGATTGATAAGGCCAAATTGGTCTCCCCCTTAGAAGCTGTCCCTCTTCCCCTCCCTGTAGCAGTACGATGCCTGTTGACAGTACGATTCCACTTTATACAGACACCATCCAGATGTGCTTGCACACGAGTGAAAGGATGTACACATATAGTTATGGGTTATGGGTTATGCTCTATAAAGTCACTTTATACTAAAGAAATTGTAAACAATCTTAACTTTATCAATAGAGGGTCTCATTAAATAAATGATGGAATATCATCCTGTGGTTGAAAAAGACTGAGGCATGGGGAGCCTTGGTTAAGCATCAGACTTTGGCTTGGGTCATGATCTCACAGTCGTGAGTTCGATCCCCGTGTTGGGCTCTGTGCTAATAGCTCAGAGCCTGGAGCCTGCTTCAGATTCTGTGTCTCCTTCTCTCTCTGCCCCTCTCTTGCTCATGCTCTGTCCCTCTCTCCCTCTCAAAAGTAAGTAAACGTTAAAAAAAAATTTTTAAGAAAAAGAGCGAGGCGGCCTTTAGTGTGAAAAGATCAAGATATTAAATGACTGGGGCACCTGGGGACTCAATCAGTTAAGTGTCCAACTCTTTTTTTTTAATTTTTTAAGTTTATTTATTTATTGTGATAGAGACAGAGTTGGGGAGGGGGAGAGACAGAGAGATGGAGACAGAGAGAATCCCAAGCAGGCTCCATGTTGCCAGTTGCAGAGCCTGACACGGAGCTGGGACTCACGAACTGTGAGATCATGACCTGAGCTGAAACCAAGAGTCAGACGCTTTGCCATCTGAGCCACCCAGGCTCCCTTGTGCCCAAGTCTTGATTTAGGCTCAGGTCATCATCTCACAGTTCATGAGATCGAGCCCCAAGTGGGGCTCTGTGCTGATAGAGCAGAGCCTGCTTGGGATTCTCTCTGTCTTCCTGAGTTCGGTTCCTCCCTGCTAACATACAGTGCTGCCCTGAGAATGAGGTGCTTGATAGTCGCCTAATATGATTGGTTGATTTATCCCCAGCAGAGGGAGACCTCTGGAGGTGGGCATGGAGGACACTGACCACAGCCAGGAGGCCTGGCCCTTTTGGAGGGAGAGCCAACAGGAAGAGGGTGGCAGGAGGTATAGTCACCTGATCTCTTTGTAGGCATCTGGAGCAGGTGAAAACAGTTCCGAATGCAAAGTCAGGCCTTGCGCTCAGGGGCTCTCAGCATGGAAGACACATTAGAATCACTGTGAGCTTTAAAAACTGCTAGACCCCGGGGTCCCACCCCCGACCAATTAAATCAAAATATCTGATGTGGGGCCAGGGCTTGGTTTTTGTTTCAAGCTCCCCCAGGC